GAGTGTGCCTTTTAAAAAAAACCCCCCCAAAAAAAAAAAAAAAAATATATATATATATATATATATATATATACACACACACGCACACACACATATATGTGTGTGAAATATGCTAGACCTGCTGGTGTCTTATGAGGGGAAGAAAATGGGATTAGGGATGAATTAGAGGGAAAGCTACATGGGTTTTGCATAGATTGATAATAAGTGTTCCATAAACTAGAAATATCCATTTAATTCTGTGTAGCTGGGATACTTAAAAATTAAAATCCTGGGGGTAGCTTGGCGATTAAAGCACTGGATTCCCATATGGCTGACTGCGGTTCAAGTCTCAGACTCAGCAACTTGAAAATCATGCCAGATGCATGTGTGTGCGAGACCAAAATCCCAAGAGGAGAACGGAGGAGAAGGGATTGTGGAGTGGCCATCCACTCTGGGGGAGGAGAGTGATTTCTCACTTCCTTCTCTTTCTCTCCAGCAAGTGCCTGTGCCCTATGGCAAAAACCTTAAAAAAAAAAATACAAATAACAAAAGACTCCAAAATGATGAGAAAAACCAATAAAATAAAATATTTTTTAAAGTTTATTTATACTACCTAATGTCCATGAGTGATTTTATTTATTCATTTGACAGTCATTTATTCAGTGTCCAATACTGAGGACTCTGCTGGGCAGAGAAAATAAGAGGCATCACATGGGGCCCGCAAGTATTGGCGGTGGTTAAGGTGTTGGATTCTCAGATGGCCGACTGTGGTTCAAGTCCCAAACCAGGTGGCTTGATAATCACAATAAATAAATAAATAGATAAGTAAATAATTTTTTTTAAAAAGGTGTCACATGATTCCCATGTACATGGATTAAACAACAAAAGCAAAAAAGCATAATGCATGCTTTCCTTTCAGTGTATGGCTTATGCATTATGGTGGTAAGTAATCTCACTAAAAATACACATACTCAGGTAGAAACTATACATTTAAAGAATTCCGTAGGATATGAAAATGTTACATAGAGCTTAATGTGCAGTGGAAGCTGGATAATTGGCATGGAAGAATCTATTATCACATATATAAATGAAAAAACCCTATGGTCAAGGTGATGAATGTATCATTATTTATTTTCTCTTAGAGCATATATATTTTACTAAAACTGGTTTTTCCGAATTCCCAAGGGACTATAGTAAACCAGTGGTTATATGAAATTATACTGCCTTCTCAGTGCCTCAGGTTCTTCTCCTGTGAAATGGGAAAAGAGCACACCTCTTCTGAGTTCACATCTAGGTTAGGGTCCAAAGGCCCTATGCCCTCTGCTCACGAAGGGGACTGATAACTAGAGTTAATCAAAGCCTTTTTCTGAGACCCCAAACATTTCAAGATGTGTGTGATAGAAAAGAGCACATTGAGAAGCAATTCTCATTGGAAAAGTTTTCGTGGATGTACTAACCATTGTTTACTCTCCCTGCCCAGGTTACCCTTT